GCTGGGGATTCGAACCTGCCACCTTAGGTGTACGTGGCTGGCGCCTTAGCCACTTGAGCCACAGGCGCCGAGCCCCCTCCTCCTTTTTCTCTCTGCTTTCCCCTTCCCCCACCCCCACCATGTCAAAAAATGATTTTTCAACAAAAGAAACCTTGGAGATACAACTCACGTAAAGTGATAGTGGGGTTATTATTTGTTTAGTTTTAGTTTTTCCATTTTAGTAAAATGCCTTAATTTTCTAAAAGGTAAATTAAGTGTGTAAAAGCATCTTCTGGTGTCATATATTCCTAATGGCCAAGAAATGCCATGCCACTGTTGTCAAGAAGAATTTTCGTGTCTCACCAAGGTATGTTTCTGATTCCCAGGGAAGGAAAATATAATCACGCTGCCTGCTTTGGTCTCCAGCCTGGCTGTCTTCTCCCTGATGGAAGCCGGATGATGTCTGTGGCTGCCCTTGTGGTGAACTTCTCACAGCCAGCCGCGGGTCGTCCCTCTCTCCTGAGACATGACGAAGTGAGGACTTACTTCCATGAATTTGGTCACGTCATGCATCAGATCTGCGCACAGGTAAGTGATTTGTTTACAGTAAACCTACCACCTGCTTCTCCAGAATTTTTTTTTCCACTACCATCAGGTTTCTCTCCTTTCGGTAGGTTGGTTTAGTCAGAAGCTGAATGTGTTCAAGAATTTTGTAGGCCTTTTGCAAAAACACAAACTACTCTTTACCACGTCCTCTTTCGCAAGGTATTTTTACCCAGAGTTAATGTACCAGCGAAAGAGCTTTGTGTTACATAATAGCCTGTGGGAAAAAACTAAGACTATCGCTAAGGAAGGGTTACAAATGTTTTGCTTTTTCCTTTTAATTCTTTTCTTCTCCATAAGAATATGATATAAGTGTCACAGGAAAACTGTGCCATGATTACCTCTTCTGCTTATTAATGCTTTACTTCAACAGCTTCAACCCTCTTCTATCCTTTACTCCTTTCTTAATAATAAATGTTTTGTAACAGCTCCCTTGCGAGCCTCAGAATCATAGATAATATATAATCATGCAGAGAATTTGCCCGGGCAGAGGTGTGTGTGCGCAGTGGATTAAAATTGGGTTATTTCCATCATAAAAAATGCATTTATTCTTAACTTTGTAGGCCTAATTATTCTAGCTTGAACCAAATGAACTTGCTGATATTTAGCCATCATTAACATATGAAAATGTCTAGTTCAATAGTTCAACCTAATAATTTAACTACACTGATATTAACAATAGTGGGGAGATAGTTTTCCAAATTTGGAATTGCTATGTGTCTCTAAAAGTAAACTTTGAAAAAAAAAACCTACTTTTTAGAATAGTTTTAGATTTACAGAAAATTTGCAAAGATAGTATAAATATTACCTATGTGCCTTTCACCCTTTCCCCTACTTTTAACACCTTACATTACAGTAATATGTCACAACTAAGAATTGATACCAGCATTGATATGTTACTCCTCATTAAACACCACATATTTGGCTCAGCACCTGTGGCTCAAGTGGCTAAGGCGCCAGCCACATATACCTAAGGTGGCGGGTTCGAATCCAGCCCGGGATTGCCAAACAACAATGACGGCTGCAACCAAAAAATAGCCGGGCGTTGTGGCAGGCACCTGTGGTCCCAGCTACTTGGGGAGGCTGAGGCAGGAGACTCACTTGAGCCCAGGAGTTGGAGGTTGCTGTGAGCTGTGATGCCA